AGGGATCCACCATTAGCGGGCTGGTTGAACAGGGAGGGGGGGGGTGGTTGGAATCACAGTATTCACGGCGCTTTTGTAATCTTATTTGCTCGTCATCTTCATCAAAGTTTCCATTGCATGGTTGTCTCCATTCATTTTTGGATTAGAGCAAACGCAGGAAAACCATGAAATAAAACCAAAGTAAATACTAACAAATAGTGGCTATTTAGAGACAATTTGTCAGTATCAATAAACCAGAACACAATGAAGATGAATCCACATGGGACCATTTTGCATTCATCTTCATTGCGTTCTGGTTCATTGATGCTGACAATTTGTCTCTAAATAGCCGCTATTTGTTATTATTTAGTTTGATTTTATTTCATGGTTTTCCTGCGTTTTCTCTATTGATGCAAATGTTCTTTTTTTCATCTAATCATCCCCGTCTATTTTTTTTTTTATAACGGTGTTCCTCCCCCCTCCTCCCCCGACACACACACACACACTCCCCCCAACCCTTTCCTAACTTAGGGCCGGCAAACTGATACAGCACGTAATCGATAGCTCTTTACAATACTTAGACCCTGAGAGCAGGGTGTACTCGTGCCCTAAAGGTCAGTACTTTTTCAAATTGAGCTCATTTAAAACTTTTCATATACTGTCTTTAGTCTCAATTTTCAAAAATAGCTCGCCCGAGTTGACGCTCTAAGCGGTCTGGTTTAGATGTAAAGAATCTGCCAAAGGCATGCAGTTCATCTATAGGAACTGATATCAAATATATTAAGAATAGAGTTTGTGAAAGTAACTCCTTGTTGATTACTTTTCATGCAACATTTAGCAGCATAGATATACAATACTTTTTGATAAATCTTTAAGAGCGTAGGTACACGGTATACATCGCACGGCAATGCAGACGTGACTCAAATCGTTCACTCAGGTCAAGTATAACCAGTATCAGAATCAGACAGTTTGGCGCCGTTTCCCCGCTCTTCAAAATCTTCATCTAGGGATATTCCTCCGTGAAAATGAACTATTTGGCTGGACACACCAACCTTGACATAAGGTCTCGAATATCAAAGAATTACTAAAAGTTACAGTCAAAACGAACCATTTCTATCTGCTGTGCTCCGCGTTCAGTCGTTCGTTGCTATGTAAGGAAGCGCCTAGCCGGCAGCACGCCTATGTGTAAGTGTATGTAAAAATGTGTCTGTAATATAGCACTTCGACTTKAGAGCGAGTCGAGCTGCGTCTTTCGCTATTCAGCACCCGTGCTGCCATGAAGGACGATTAGTACCCAACACCTTAACCTTTCCTTTCCTCCTGTTCTATAATACGATTGTTTACAGCCGAGTTCGTAATTTGATATTTCGTTTAGAGATCGGAGGGCGATCGGGAGACCAGAAGGCAAACTTCTGACTTGGAAAAAAAAATATCTGCGTTGCATTTTATGTCTCGTGTCCTGGCCTAGGGCCTGGAGCACAGTAATGAAACTGGAAAGAGTGTAAGCAGGGGCGTTATTAACCGCTGTACTCGTTCACTGATCAATCAAACTGTAATAATCATCAATACGAACTTCTCATACTCATTAATTATTCATGAGGTATCTAGCCAATCCCTGATTGTAATTTGTACCACGTGCAGTAACTGGATACCAGCCGTTCAATYCCATGTGATCTCCTCAATAGCTACTGGCTTAATGAATACAATGGAAAGCATAATGCTATCTTGTTTTTAATTATCATTATGTCATATCGACAAAAGTTAACTTTTTAAGCCGTTTACATGTTTCCTCTAATATTGGTTATATGGATATTATTATAATATAGATAATTAATGTAAGAACGT